GGGAAAGAGGATGTAAGATGTAAGTTTTCCAGGGAGGATGAGATAGATCCTAACTTTGCTGAGCAGGGCACATAAGGAATAATAACCAAAAATTCTGCATCTTTATTTCCATTCAAAGTGGATATGGTCATTTCTCAATCCCAAACCACTAACTTGAGGGAATAGTACATATGCTAAGATGCCATGAACACCCTTGTGGTTTATTTTCTGTTGCAGCATCTCAGAACTGGGAAGAACTAGATGTTTGGGGCTTACTTCTTCTGTCTGCCTGGTGAACCTCATGAAAATGCAGTAGAAGAGTCCCTGCCAGCTCGACTTCCAGGGCCTGGAGAGTTTGAGACCTGAGTCCTATACACTAACACATGTCTGCGGCCCTGTTCTTGCAGAGGTCACTCCCATGCCCATACATCACCCTAGCCTGTCTGTCCCTCCTCCCCAGCTCCATCCCAACCTGTGCTTGAATCAGAGGCCCTAAGCCATATTGACAAGTCCTGAAAAGTAGATTGTTGTTACCAATTAAATAAAATAGTGTCTGAAAGGAAGGGTTAGTTAAGGGTCATTCATAGGGACACACATTTTATGTTCTTGCCTGTGGCTTATTTGACTAACAGTCTGGCCCTCATCTTTTTTCCTATGTCACGTCTCCTCAACAGATTATCTCCAGTGTGCCTCCACCAGAGGCATCATGTTAAAGAAGAAAGAGGATAAGCTTTGGGATAATATACTGTTGGATTTAAATCCCAAATATGTGTTCTACCTGTGTGACCTAAAAAAGGTTTTTTAACCTCCATAAGTCTCAATTTTCCCATCCATAAAGTGGAGATACTTTCTATTTCATGAGGGATTTTTGAAGATTAAAAAATAAAAATTCTATAAAGCAGCAACCACTGTGCTGGGCACCCAGGCAATCCTCGATGTATCATGATTCCCTCCCTTCTTCCTTAATGCATGCCACAGCTGGCAGAGAACAGACGCAAAGGGAGCTGTGCTGGGGTTGGTAAACCCCTTTTCCATGTCTTCTCTCCACTGCCGACTTGAAGCGGCTCCCCTCCTTGCCGCCTGTCCATTTTCAAGGCTCAGTTCAAACTCCATCTTATTTCAGCAACCCTACCCTGACCTTCCTTGCCTTACGTTGTTCACAGTTTGACACTAACACCCTACTACACTCTGCTCACGCTGACACATGCATGTCTTACCCTTGGACCAAATTGTATGCTCCTTGAAGGCAGAGATGCTGTATAATTATGTTCAGCCCCCAGTGTCTCGTCAGGTACCCTCACGGCTTGTTGCTTGGCTGTGTGTGCAGTTAGGGGCTGAGCTGGTTCTCTCTTAGGATGGTGTCACCTTTCCAGGCAAATGCCACTTGGGGAATCCTGCCTGCAGGCCTGGGTGTGGGGAGAGAGGTACATTCTCTACCTCCTTCCTGCTCCATCCCAGAGTTTACACACCTTGTGCGTCATTTCTGGCAAAGTCATTGAGAGAAGCTAGGGAGCCCAGGTGAGCTTTTCTGAGGGCTAGAGGCACTACAGCCCAGCGTGACTTCCTCTCTTTCTTGAACCAAACAAAATATTGTTACAGCAAATATGAAATCTTTCATAGTTTTCACAGACGCTCTCCAGGCCTAACAAAGCTAGTAGTCACACACCTTGAATCAAAATAAGCATCTGCCTTTTTTATTCTTTATCCCATTTTCCCAGCATTTTTGAGCAACAATAAAGAACGTGATTATTCTATTAATTTATGATTCCATTGAGTGCTTTCTGGAGAGCATGCAAAAATATTAAAACCTTAACTTTACCCTTTAATATTGATTAAACACAGAGATACAGAAAATACATAACCTGACTCTCCTCATCTAACATTGTGCATAGTAGTTGGAGGCATAAGCTATGAATACCTCAATAACATATAAAATCAAAGGCAATGTACGATAAAGGGAAACTGAGTCATGTGCAGCTGCAGAGAGGAAAGGGTCATTTTCACTGTTCTGAGTTTTAAAAAAGAAGAGGAAGAAAAAGAAGCAACAGCCCTCCCAGAGGAAATGGGCCTTTAACTGTCTCTTTTACTTGTCGTATCACAGAATAATTTGATAGTAGGAAAGAAGTCAGGGACCTTCTCCCTAAGGAAGTGTATGGACTCACACGTAATTTGTACTTACAATCTCAGGGAGTCTGTGGACTTGATGGAGTCCATCCATAGTTCATGATCCCTAACTTAAGACTCTGAAGAATTAGTGGCACCTAGAAAGAAGGTAGGAGAGGGCAGCAGAGATAGTCAGAGATAGAATAGACACAAGGTGAGAAGGCCATTCAGTCCAGGCTCCTATCCCAGAAGCACCGCATTTGCCTTTTGTGATTCTGCTGCTTTAGCTCCAGATCTGGGCTCTGGTAAGTCCATTGCCATCAGTTGTTCTGGGGACACTGTATGCAAACTGTGAGAAGTATCACTAAGGAAGACTCTTTTGTTCTTTTCCAGCTCCTCACAGCCAGTGACCTTGCAGCCAGCGACCTCAAAGGATTTCAGCCACAGGTAAGTTCCACTGATCCTTATGAATTGTGAGCAAACAAAGTTGGCACCAGGGCACAAACCCCCCACCTTGGATTTCCAGCTTCTCTGACTTAAGGAACCAACCTTGACAATGACTTGGTAGTTTGTCCTCTCCCTCTGGCTCCTCCCATCTCATCATGAGCAAAACAACCTCTTTCTGCGTCTTTAATATTTTATAGTACGCAAGAATGTAGACCAAGCTGCTTGGAAAGCGTGGTGGTGGGTGATTCAGCTCAGGAAAGCATTAAACCAAGGAGTTAGAGGGTGAGGTTCTCTCCTGCATTTCTCCTTGTTGGGACAGGGTACTCAAATTTGTGGAATCTTTGTGAGCAAATGCCTTGTAGCCATGGTCTGGCAGCCAGGTTAATCTCAGACTTCTGCAGAGGCAGATGGTTGAGTTTTGCTGGTCTTGGTTAGGAAACAAGCCATTATTATCTCTGGCCAGAATGCTTTTTCGGAGGTCACTATGAGCAAACCACAAGAGGCACAAGAAAGGGCTCTCTGGGGACCTCCCTGGCAGTGGTGAAGATGGAAAATCACCTTCCCTGTCTTTGGAAGGGAGCTTACTGTCTCCACACAAATGCATAACCACCAACACACACACACAACAAATGCACGACAGACACACAAAGTCCTTGTGTTCCCCATGGATCCTAGTACAGATAGAGTGTGTATATGCAAAGATAGGTAAATCCAAGAGCAAGAGCTGAGGTGCTCCATCCCTTCCTCTGTCCCCCTTTCAATAGGAAACGTCCTGTCACTCCCCAACTCAGTGCTGCCCAAGGCCCCACCTGCTGCACCTCTGCAGAGACTCCCAAGGGCAGAGCAGTTAATTTCTAATAACAATAATTCCATATACTTGGGGATATTTTCTTCTTTAAATATGTTTTACATCCAAGAACTCACTGTACTTCTCCCATGTGTGGTGCTGAGACCCCAAGTCCTGGGGAGAAGAGGCCCCAGACCACTCAGAGAGCTAAGAACCAGAATGGGAGTGGAGCAAGAGGCTTGAGGGAGAGAATGAACAAAATAAAGGGCCCCGTTGGTGAGAGTCAAAGATAAATCCATGTACGGTTTGGGGTGTTTTGATCACAGCTTGTTGATCTTTCTGTCAGGATGCAATGAGGTTTTAAAAATAGATAGTAAGGAAGCCTTTTGACAATCCTGAAAAATGACAATTTTTTCAAGTACTTATTCATATAATTCACACAAACTTTCAGGTGATCTCAGGGAATATAAAACAAAAACAAAAGAAAATCAGCATTTACCCATATCCCACCCACCTCCACACATACTCTCACAACGCAGTGGGATAAATATTTATCTCAGCTAAATATTTATTTTTATCTGGAAATTTATAAAAATAAAGGGAAAAAAGGCACTGTGTGATGTTGTTTTGTGGCTTGAAAAGGTTACATAGTGGAGACTGATTTTATGGAAGGGGTGTGTGTGTGTGTGGTTTTGACATTGTTTCTGACTTGATCATATTCTCTCCATGTTTGTTGAGCCACATTTCTAAAGATTTTAGATTTAAAATGAACTATTAAGTTAGATATATTGGAGGTCTGTCCACAACATTTGAGGCCATGATCCTAGAAAGGCAGCTTCCCTGCCCTCCCCACAGATAACCCCGCAGGTGGTTGGTACAGATGGCTCACTCCCCTGCTTCCGTCTGACCTTTCCACATTATTCCATTTGTGTGTCATCCCCGCAAGGCTGGAATATAAATGCATATTTTTCACTTCTCAGGATGTGTGTTCCCGAGGCCAGGAAACCCTGGAACCTTGTGGCTAGAGTGTAGTACCCAGATCAAAAAGTCAGTTCTGCAGTGTTGTTTCTGAATCAAAAAGGCCCTGATGTGTCAACACCTAGTCAACACCACCCTCTCGGGTGCTTTTCCAAAGAGAAACAGAGCACTGCCCACAAGCTTGGGGCTGCCTCCTTCCGGCCCCACTGCACCACATCGTTGGCTTCCGTTGTCATTTTCCCTTCTCTCTTTGGGTTTCAGGTGAAACTGAGCCCCAGGCATCCTGATGTCCACAATCATTCATGGTCATGTTCCCTTCCAGGCACTGTCACTGACTTTCAGGAGAGAACTTGCTGAGGGCCCCTCCCTGGGCTCACTGTCAGTAGGCCTGTCAGCTTTCACACACTCCACATTCACCACTTGCATAGAAAAGTTTTGTCTTTTTTTTTTTCCCTTGAAGCCTGTCCTGCTGCAGCCTCTTAAGGAAAATAGTCATGATTTCCTCCCTAACCTTTGCTGCCCCTCCACTTAGAAAGCGTGGAGAGGGGTGATTGTATGAGGCTGCCCTCTCCTTGTCTCTCTTCTCCTTTCTGCATCCAGATAGAGAAGAGGAGGGTAAGGAGGTGACTATCAGCCTTTCTCCCTGTGATTATTGGTTTGTAAAGACACCATGTTCATTCCTGGAAATAAACACATTACTTTGAAGGTAGAGCCCAATGCTGAGATTCTACGGCCCGTACATTAGCAGTGGGAGTTCTCCCAGGCCAACGAGCTTGGCTTCTGAGCCACACGGGGAGAACTGTCTGACCGGAGGCTATTAGTCTCAGCAGGTTTAAAAATCACAAATGGAAATGCTCCTGAAATTCACACCCAGATCACCCACACTCTTCTCTTCCATTTGGTTCCCCCCCAAACACATCATTCATTTTCCAGCGCCTTGTTCTTTCTGCCTTTAAAGGAATGAACACACTTGAGTCCCCTCTTTTCTTGCCTTCGGATGATTCTAAATGAGGACCCTCATCTCCCTTTGCCAGACCATCTCTCTCCAACCCCAAAAGGAATAAAAAGAGGCACCTCATTCCTTTAGTAGAAGCCCCACAATCGTATGATTTCGTCTTCATTTTATTTATTTTTTCCCCCTCAGTTTAAGAGCTATAAGTGTTCACTAGAGATGTTGGAATGTGTGAAGGTGGTCAAAATGTACAAACTTCTAGTTATAAAATAAATAAGTCCTGGGGGTGTAATGTACAGCATGGTGACTATAGTTAATAGTACTATACTGTATATTTGAAAGTTATTAAAAGAGTAGGTCTTGAAAGTTCTCATCCCGAGAAAAAAATTTGTAATTCTGTGTGGTGATGGATGTTAACTATAAAAATTAACTAAAAAAGAAATTTGGAAAATATAAAAAAGTAAGAAAAAAAATCTCTGCACCCCAGAAATATTTATAATGACATTTTGGGGTATAGTCTTACAATAGTTACTGTACATAGACATACACATCTATGGGATTTTTTAAAAAATTGATAATCATATTTTATATGCTTTTTTTAACCTTCTGTTTTGTTTGTTTGCATGCTTTTCATGTCACTGGAAAATCTTCTAGCAACTGGCTATTTTTGTCCACTTGCTAGTACCATCATTTATTTACCACGCCCCTCTTGCTAGACATTCCATTCCTTTTGCAGGCTGAGCTCTCCAGGAGGAATCCAAGGCAAGTGCTAGATTCTCTGCTCTCATCTAAGATACAAATAGCATCCACGGCTTCTTGGCATTTAGTTCTTCTTTATCTCTCAGTTCCTACAGGCATGTGAAGGTTGCTTAAATTTTGTAGTAAAGTGTCCATGTGTGCCCATAGGCATTTAAGCATCTGCTTACAAGGGCCCAGGTTGGGGATGCTGGGAAGAAATAACTGTAGTGTGGGGCCCAGTCTCAGATGCAAGTTTCACCTGTCCAGCTGCAGTGCTAGGAAAGCAACCCTGAGAAGACCCATCCCCCACAGAGGAGAGCACCCACAAAAGGACTTGGTCCTCACCTGCTTCATAAATGCCTCACTGTCTCAGAGGAGAGAGGATACTTCTTTCAGGAAAAATTGAATTTTACTTCAAGTATGCCTCATGACAGGATTTTGGGAGGCAAGTGTAATAGCTGTTCTATAAAGGGTCGCCATTTTAAAGGAATTTCTAAAATGTCCATTGCTATTATGGCCAAGGGGACATTTGCAGTGAAGGGTAAGAAGAGTACCTCAGAACACAGAAAAACATTTTTCAGTGCGGAGAAAACAGGGCTTTCAGTCACTGAGCTGCCATTTCATTCAAAGGCACCCATGGAGACCTTTATGTGGGGCTCCCTGCTGCACAGACTCTTCCCCAGAATTTTGACAATTCTGGAATGTTCTGCCACTACTATTAGCTTTGTGAACCTGGGGAAGTTACCTAGTGGCTTTAATCCTCATTTTCCTTATCAAGCAAAAAAGCTGTGCAGCTTATCCCACAGATTGTTGTGAGGCTCAAATTGTTGTGAGACAATATTGTGAAAGCAACCTAGCATGATGCCTGCCACACACAGTGAATTCAACTTTTTCTTTTGATAGAAAAGTACAGGTTAAATTATTTAAGAATTGAGAAGGAGAAATTATATCTGTATAGAGCAAGAAGGGAAGTCTTATAGGGAGAGATGTCATTCATTGTACGTGTGCCAGGATAACTGAGAAGGAAGTGAGGCTGTGAACTTACTCCAGGGCAGCGGAAGCCTGGATGAAGACCAAACCAAGGGTGGAGATGCTTGGGTATGGTCTGGAGACTTGGAATGCTTTAATTACTCTGGTTCAGAGGGAGTATGGTGAAGATATAGCTGCAAATTAGGTTGGGACCAAATTGCAGGAGGTCTCCAAAGTCCAGAAAAATAGTTGAGCTTTTTTTTTTTTTAATGAACTATTATTGAAGTTTTCAAACTTATACAAAAGTAGACATGATAGTTTAATAAACCTCCATATATTATTCAACTTTTATTATCTATTATTCAACTTTAATATATTGTTACAAAAGCCTTGATTTGGAGCATTTGCTGATTTCTGTGGTGTAAATATCCCCATGGTGAACAACTTTAAGCTGCCAATGGTTTAACAACCTGTTTGCAAAGTCTTTGACAGCCAGCTTTCCTGAGTTGGTGTGATCGGTTCCCCACGTACCACTGGGCCAGCTTCAGTAATCATTACCATTTGCCAATCTTACTT